AAGCTCAACCTCCATTTATCATAAAGAAGAATGACGCGTTTTCCGACGATGATTTTCGCGGCGGCGATAACCGCGATTGCTTTGATTTCGTTACCAGCGGCGGTTGAATCGCAGACAACGTGCGTGAGCAAGCTAGTCCCCTGTTTCGATGCCTTGAAAACGACGACGACTCCATCGAAAGAATGTTGCGATTCGATCAAAGAAGCGGTGAAGGATGAGCTTCCTTGTCTCTGTACCGTCTACAAAACTCCTGGTTTACTCGCTCAATTCAACGTCACGACCACTCAAGCTCTAAGTATCAGTGCTCGATGTGGAGTTAATACTGATCTCTCTGCTTGTCCTTCCGGTAATATTTCAATCTCGATTTCGAATTTTTTGGTTTTTTTTTTTTTGGATTTCGTACGGATCTGGTTTCGAATTTTAAAATCATGAATTGAATCACAGATAAAGCTACCAGATGTAGATCTTGATATTTTTTACTATAAAGTTTCTATTTAATTTTGAATTTTATTTTTTTCAGTATAAATTATGTTTTTGTTTTTTTCTTCAGGTTCTGGAACTCCATCGCCAAAAGCTTCTTTATCTCCTCCAGGTATAAACCAAACTCTTCACCTACTCCTTTACATTTATTTTTCTATTAAATTTTATGAATTTTTGAAATGAATATTCGATTTATTTGGTCGGAATTTGTTAGTTTCTTAAATTTGATTTTCGATTGATTGGTCGGAGTTTAGTCAAGTCAACAAGTCAACGATCCATTTTGAATCGATATATTCATTTTCAGGGATCTCGATCTGTTTTTTTATACTGTATAATTTAAAACAGTTGTAATAAAAAAATTGAATGTGAATGCCAGCTTTTGCCTCCAATATTGACTTGAATTAATCGGAATGAAATCACTGTAAAATGAGTAAATGACACATGTCAGATTATTTTTTATATTTATTTGTTTTCATAATAAAAAAAAAATAATTAATTTGTAAGATTGACTAATTTGGTTCCATATCGATTTTCTAATTTTCAGCAGGTGGAAGTAAAGGAAATGACGCCGGAGCTGGAAACAAGCTCGTCGGTTATGGAATCACCACCGTGATCTTGTCTTTGGTTTCGACCATCTTCTTCTGAAAACCTTAACCGGATTAATCGGGTTTTCCGATCGTTAATTTGGTTTATTATTATTACCTCAATAATTCTCGAAGATTGTTTGTTTTGCTTAGCCTATTAAGGTTTAATAAAGTCTTTTGTTCACGTGTATTTAT